CATGGAATTACTGGTTCTTTAGACTAGCAACCTACAAAATATGCTCAGATCCAACCTGTCACCCAGACCCCAAAAAGGGTCCCTGCCAGGCAGTGTGGGCAGCTCCCCATATTCAAATATCAGCAAGATTTGACCAAAGCCCCATGTGAGATGAGCTATGAAATAGTTAATGGTGCCTGGTTAATACCCTAGGACATTCACTAGTTATTTCTGCATGAAACACTCAAAATGGAAAGACTTTGAGTTGTACGAGTAATATTTTCTAGACAGAAATCCAGTGTTACGAAAGACACGAGCGGCTACGTGCAGTTTCCTACAGGCCGTTTCTTACCTCCCTTGCACCCCGCAGGCTGAGCAGCTCTTGAGCTCTGCAATGGCCACACAGGCCTCCCCCTCCTGTCCAAATTGAGTGCACTCCGTGCACCCATGTCCACTGCAATTTCCCATACGCAGCAAAACATGCCAAGGTGACATTAACTTCAACCTCAGGGAGATAATCCCATTTAGCAAAGGGAGAACCAGCACCAAGTTGATGGAGAGGGCCAGGGGGAAAGGCGGAGGTAGGCCACCTTGGGCTTTGCAGCCCCTGCACAGCTAGCTGGCACGGACTGATCTAACCTCACAGCAGGCCCAACATCTCACCTTATCCCCAGAGGGGAGAAAACACCCAGAATTTGCCCTAAATCCCCCTCCAAGTCACCACCTCCCTCTCCAGCCATGTCCCTCACCCTGGCAGGGACAAATCCTCTATCCCCCAAAGAGTTTTCCTGGGAGGTTGGACCACTTGCAGGTGCTCCCTGTGATAGGAGAGACCTTCACACCTGCAAGTGCCAGCGCTCCAGTGGCTGCTCACCAAGTGACTGCAGCTGTTAGGGGTTTAGGGAATAGTCATCAAGTTAATTGCAGGCAGGAATGAGCACACTGCCCCTTGGAGCCTGGAGAAGCCATCTGAAAGCATGAGACATGACAGAAACACAAACATCTCTACATGGGAACGACAGCAAAGTGCCTAGAGCAGCAAGCTGTGGTATGGCCTCCACGTGAATGAGCTAAACATCAGAAAATAGCTTTTTTTTTTTTTTTTTTTGGTAATATTGCACGGGAAGGGTCCAGATGCTAAAGGCTGGACCATCCTGTAACCTGCCTTGGGTCCCACGCCCACTCCCATTAGCTGTTCCCCACATCAGCTGCAGTGCGTGCAGGGCTCAAGGCCCTTGTACCTCAGTCCTGCCAGAGCAGCAGGTCCCCGATTCACCAGTGTTAATGTTCACCCAGGAGGCAGAAAGGGAACTCGCCCTGTGCTTGCTCAGACAGCGCTGGCACTTCTTCCCTCATCCACCGCCTCCAGCTAGAAAGAAAAGTGCCCTCTCCATTCTGTGCAGAGAGGAGTACGTGCCTGAGTGGGTTGGAAAATAAACACAGGCTCTTAAACTGCTATTCAAAAAGCATCTGCACTACCTGACATTCACAAGAAAATAACATTTTTCACAGGCCTCATCTGCTTGCAGGAAAAAATCCCCATGGCAGCATGTGTAAGACCTGGGCCACTATGATTCACACACAATCATAAGAATAAGCAAGCACCATCTTTCCATCTGAGCAGCTCATCTCTTTGCAATTATTCAGCGTGTTCCCTGAGAGGATAAATCCACTGTAACTCCCCCTCCACTCCCACTGCTGCAGCCTTAGAGGAACCAGGCTGCAAAGCTGGTGTAAATGTCACTGAATATATATTGTCATGCTGAACGTGCTGAGCTGCAAAAGACCCCCCACCATCACCTTAGTGCTTTCTAGCCTTTAAAACTGGAATTAAAAGTTTTGCTCCTTCCAGGGGCTCACAAACAGGTCCTGAAGCAGCCCCAAAGCTGCTGGGGCCAGCTGCTCTCCCTGGGGCAGGGAGCACCCAATGCACACAGGTCCCTGGAGGGACTCAGCTGGGCTGACTTTTTGCTGGCTTTGGACCTCTCTCCCAATGTAGTTAGGCCCAAATTTTTCAGGACAGGGAACACACTAGAACTGCAGCCCAGAAACATCTTTGGGGCTCTTGTCTTTCCCTCTGTACAAGATGATAAGAAGAAAATTACCAGGCTGTTCACCCAGGTTCCTTCTGTCAGTAAAATCATTTTCACTCCCTGCAATCTGGCTTCAGAAGCTGAATGCAGTGTATCCAGCTGCTCCTCCTCACCAGGCTTGTGGTGTACAATGAACATACTTACTTTACCCATTCATGATACCTTTAAAGGACTGGGGGTTGCCTATCCTCAATTTGGAGGCCATGTCACCCCTGCATGGGGAACAACGCGAGCTCTGCTTGCACGGGGAGCCCACGCTGTTTCTCCTCATCTAAAATAAATCCCACGTTAAACTGCACCAGCTCCATACTGTGTGCGTGGGGAGGAACATTGACAAGGGAGGAATTCGGGAACAGAAGCAGAGGGGAGAGCAGGAGCATAGGGACAAGTCTTACTCCTTTGTGCCAGAGAAGCCATCCCAAGGCATGGGTAGGGGGAGGGCTCGTCCTACCTCCCAGGAAGCTGCTGCAGGAGCGCTGCCACCTCCAAGGGAGCATCAGGAAGCCACATCCCGCGTCACCCAGGTGCTGCCAGTGCAAGCCTGGCAGTGCAGTTTGCTTGCAAGCCCTCTTGGTTAAAGTGGAGATGTTAAAACTGCTTGCTCCTGACTTGCAGAGCTTAAAGCAAAGCAAAGAGAACCCGCTTTCCTCATGCCAGGAGGAGGAGGTTCGGCATCTGCCCTAGGCAGCAGCTGATGTATGGAGAAAATGGGAGCTACCTCCCAACTCATGGGGTTAACAGCACAGAAACCAATGGCAACCAGAAAAGATCTAGGAATAGGCCTGCTGCCAGCTCCTCTGCTCTTCAGTGCTTTCCATGGAGAGAGTTGAGGCAGGGATGCAGTTAGAAAGAACTCAAGGCAAACAGAGTTTACTTTTTATTTTAGGCATTTCAAGTTGATACTTTTCATAATATAGCAGAAAACACTCAATCCTGCTATTTATTGCAACACCTCTGACCTAGCAAAAGGTGCCTCTGCTTCTCCTACAAAATAGCTTCCTATATTTTCTCTCTGAAGCATTGGAACTACCCTCACTGAAAGAGAAATGTCAGTTCCAGCACTATCACTAAGTCTCATACTTCCAACCGAAGGCAAAAAGAGTAGAAAAGAGTTGAGTTGAATGAACGCTCAGCTGGGCCTTTCCCTATTTTGTCTCTGGAGTTAAGCTCAAAGCCAGAAGTAAATGAGTTACCTCACATATAAGAGGAGATGTTACAGAAAGCCACTGCCGGTTGCTCGAAAGCCTAGCCTGAAAAGTCTCAGCCCATGAACAGCTGGTAATTGGCAGAACTCTGCACAGAAAGATGCCATAGGTTTGCTTGAGCCCGGCCTGGCTCTTGGTGCCTGCCATATCTCGGCTTGACCCAGCCTTGCTGCTCTTGGGAAAACGACGACAGCCCCTTCCTCTAGCTCAGTCTCTTATAGCCACGCTCACAGATGTGGATGTAGCCCATGGATGCAGATAACTAGATGGATAACAAATATGGACTAGGTGCAACACGGCAGCATTATCCTTGTGTCAAGGCTAGAAGGTGCTAAAAGTGACAGCATCCTTAGCTGTCACCCTGGCACAACAGGACATAGGCTTTCCCTCTAAGCTGGAGTAGCCGCCTGAAGCTTTTGGGCTACAGCCACTTTCCCAAGAAATTTCTGCCTCCTGGAAACAACACGAGCCATCACCTGTCCCTCCAGCAACTGCAGCAAGCAGCTGCATGAAAAAGCATTTAAAACAGATTGCTCCTGTGAAAAGCTGTCATCTTGTCCGACACTGGAGACTGACACACTTGCTTCCTAAGCCAAAAGCTGATTGCCTACCATCTTGAACCAAAAAAAGCCACGCTCTGGAGCTCAAAATTGCTACCAGCCCTTGTCATGTCATGCACAGCAACAGCGCAATCCAGCGATTTATCCTTTATTGTCGACTTCTGACCCCGAGGGCAGTTTCCATTTCTTCGCTTTCTCGGCTTGGGAAGTGGCAGCGGGGCTGGAGCTGCCTGCTTCTCGCTGCCGTTTGCTCCCAGGCAGCGGCAAAGCCTCGGGGGAGCCGGAGCCGCCGGCTCTTCCGCGCCACGGCGAGCGGCAGCCCAGGGCCGTCGTGCGTCTCATGTCAAGACCAGAATTAACCTTTGAAATAAGCCTCGGGAGAGCCACTGCTCACGCTGGGGAAAAGCGGGCAAGAAAACAGTAAAGAATCAGCAGGCTCCATGTTTGGCAGCATTTGCAAAGGAAGCAACGGTTTAAGGCGTCTCTGAAGGGGAGAACCTGGAAAGTCTCCAGAGAGCCCCAAAGCTTCTCGCTGACAGCCAGAAGGTGCTGATGATGGGAGAAGGGCCACAGGCTTTGCAGAACCTGTTTTTTTCTGCAATTTCTAAGGAGGAATCTCCTGGAGGTGCAAACCATCCTATGTCATCTACCATCCTGGCACATAATGGAACAATTTAGACTAATCTTCTCCAGACAAGGAGTTCGTATTCCCGTCCAAGTATTTATACATTTATATGCATTTTAAAAGTGGAAATGGGCTTGGTATATTAAATAAGAATGATTGGATGTGGGCGGTAAGAATGAAAACACTTATCTTCTTATCCTTTCAGAGGTGACGTTCAGCACATAACACAACCACCCCTCAGTGAAGCCAAACAAGTGCACAGGCAGCAACCGAGCTTGTGACAACAATTTCTCTGGACTCCTGCTGGGAAAATTTAATATCAGTTCGGGAACAGTGTACCAAGAACACAGGAACTCACTCTAGTGTCGGTGTAACTTTTATTTATTTATTGCTATCAAATGCACAGTAAAGGAAGAGCTGATATGGCTATCTCCTGAGTACAATACCTCTATAAAACTGATATTGTGGCATTTTATGGTGGCACATCAAAGATGCTGCATACACAAGTCACAAGGTGGTTTTCTTAACTGCCTGAATTACAGATGTGTTCCCTGGCTGCACTTGGGTGTTTTTGTCCCTTCCAGCAATACATAATCAAGTTCTTGTAACTGGAAAATAACCAGAGATATTAAGAATAAGGTGCCAAGGGGAAAACAGGCTCTGGATAATTTCTAATAGGTGAATGCAGATGTTTTTCTAATAGCTATTTAGCCCTGTAGGAGCCTGCAGCACCTTCAGTGCTCTTCTGGCCACACATGCCTGCCAAGGGCTCTCTGCTTGCAAGGCATCCTCTCCAAACCTCCTTCCCCTGCCTGGCAGCTCCGGGCTGCCTCCCCTGCCTCATCCCCAATTCATCCCCAGAAACTGCACTGCAGTGGTAGGAGGTGCCATAGGTTGCAAGAAGCCAGTGACAAATACATATATATATATGTATAGGAAATCTGCTCTTAAGAGCCCCCGAGTCCTATCTCCACCTCTGCTGCTAACTTGGTCACTTGGTACCTTTTATACCTCCATGGCTGGGCACTCCTCACCCACTTGTCCTAAAGCCAGTTTTCCAGAGGAGACGGGAAAGCCATCAGAGCTGACTTGAAAGCTCCTCCATGATCCTTCCTTGGGCCAAATTCACAGTATCATCAGGTTGTCTCCATCTTGCACTGTTATCATTTGCTTGAAACCTTGTTATATCAGAATGCTGTCATATGTTCAGAAGGCTGAGGTTGCTGCAGTCTTCAGGAAACATTCTTCAAAATTCCTCAGAAATAATTAAAAATAATAATAATAATTCAATAATAATGATAATGCAATAGTCTTCAAGAAATATCCCTCAAAGTGCCGATAGCTGGAGCTGTGCAGCGTGCCACTCTTTGGAGGGGATGGGGCAGAACAGGCAGACTGCATCTGATGGGGATGGTTGCACTACCTGGCCCATGGGCTAGTAAAGTTTCTCAGAAGCACCTGTGTCTGACAGACAAACTAGGCAGGAAAGAATGGAAGAGGCACTTTCTATACTAAAGTCTGTGGTTCACTTTAACACTGATTGTGATGTCTTGGCAAAATGTAGCCTAACATAAAGAGCTGAAGCAAACAGAGTGAATGGCAGAGCAGGACTGCCAGGCTATAGGGTGCACTCAAACTAAAGCAAAGTCACTGGCTATCGAGGGAATTGCCTATCCACAGCTCTCCTCCTCTTTGCTCACCAAAGAGAAAATCTCTTGTCTGACCCTGGCGCCAAATGACTTAACATTTGCAGAGCTGAAGGGCAAGTTGAGATTGGAAAGTCCTTCCCATCGGTTGTCACTTTTCATCCCCGGCAGCAGAATCTTTTTGCGACCTCATGATTTGATAGAGAGTTTTGCAGAAGTGCTGGTCCTGGCTCAGCCTTTTGGCTGCTTCCTTCAGCTCCTGAATGCCATCAGCTTCTGCCTGGGAAAAGATGAAGGACTGGGACTGCTTCACTGAAACGAGATCAGCACAGAGAGGTCAGTGCTCTGAAGCAGAGACGTACTCAAACTCAAGACAAAGTTTTAGGGCACCTAAGCCACGCAACTGTCCCACCTGAGGGCTTGGCAAAGGACATGCTGACCATTGCTTTTGAACAGCTTCACATGTTCAGGGTGAACTGTTTTCAGGGGAGGGAATGGCTGGCAGCAGGGAAACACATCTTTCCTCTTTACAGATCTGAAGTACGATTTCTTGCAGAGCCTACCCTAACCTTGCAGTCTGCCTGCTTTCAGCACCACATTTGGATACATAATGTCCAGATGTTCCTTCCGAGCAAAATGAGAGTGCTATGATTAAGCATTAAAATGAAATCAGCTTTTAGCATGTGTTTATGGCTGGGGTCCAACAGCACTACAGCTGTCAGTGCATGCCATTCTACATGCATGAAGAGAGAACGACTAATTTGCACTTAGTGCCTGCTCTATGGACAGAGAAGAAACAAGAGTTTCTTTCTGTGGCACTGTTAAGGAATAAAAACACGAACTATATGCAGACCTTACTGCTCTTTCAGCCCCATCTGCACTTTTCTGCTTGTGCTGCATAGTAAGGGAGAAGCTGCCCAGCACCTACAGTCATTCCATGAAGCACTCGCTCTCCGGCGGTGCAGGCGGCAGCTCTTTATGCGTCGCGTGGCGGCCTTATGGATGTACACGGAGTTCTTCATGATCACGGGCATCTTGGCCTCCAGCTCGGCATTGCGGATGCACTCTTCAAAGAACTCTGCAGAGAGGACAGCACTGAGAGTGGAAACAGGGAAGATGCTTCAAGCAATAAGTGGTCGCCAGAGCATTGCACTTGCTGATGGGATGAGCCAAAGTGACATTTGACACTTCCCTACAGCTTCTTCACAAGCAGTGACCCACAAAGCTCCAGAACATCACCAAGATGATCAAGTTCAGAATCTCAGAAACCTTCAGTTCCCAACACATAAATGGTGACTGAAACGATGACGGGAATGGCAGCCATCCATTCCCCCTCAGCCATTACCTCAACTGATTCAATACACCAAGCCAAGGCACTCTCCTCCACGATTAGGATAAGTACTCTGTGAAACTTTCTTACAGCTGCTTTCTTTCAAAGAACTCTAAATTCAATCAAGTCTAGACTTATGGAAAGGGACGGTTAGCAGCACTGACATGTGTGAGAGCATGCAGGCCATACATGGCCAGGGATTTCTTCATATTCATAGCAAGTACACAAATAGCACACTCTCATTCAAAGCCCAATGCTCAAACTCTGATAATGATATTGTCTGAAACTACCACATGGGATTGTTTTTCTTTCTCTGGCTCACTTCCCTTCTACGGTCTGACCAACACATCTTCTGCTTTTCCTGCGTCGCTTTCCTCCCAGATCCTACCTGTAGCTGGTCCCTTGTTGTTTAGAGGATTCACACATGTCAGGAGATGGTCCGTGCTGGGAGTTACCTGCTCTAGGTCTCTACAGGTAACTCACAGCTCTAGCAGGACACTGAGCTCAACAAGGCCATTTTAGCTCTGTTTCCTTAGCCTGGCTCTAAGCCAGTGTGAAGAAGTTCAGAATCACATATTTGACCTCAGTTTAGGAATCTGACATAGAAACTACTGATTTATTATTATTCTGTATGTGTGTGTGTGTGTGTGTGTGTGTGTGTGTGTGTGTCCGTCAGCACTTCAGAATCCCACAGGACTTTAATAAACCTGACTTAAACCAGATTCTAGAGCAATTACGATGAAGAAAAAGACAAAAAAAGCCTTAATTTCAGCCATCAGCCACATGAAACCTTGGGTTCACATCTCACCGGCAGACTGCAGCTGTCTCCCCATGGCAATGCTAGGCTGATGCAGTGATTCAGCTCTGAGTCTGAGTCCAAGTTCCACCTGCTCAGTCACCTCCCAGCACGGTTGGTGTGGTTGCTACAGCAACCGCAGTGCTCCTTTAATCACTGACAATCTTGAGGAAAATCAGAGGATTTTCACCACTCACACCTATTCAGTCATCCCAGCTCTGCCACATCTTCCCTGTTTCAACTTTTGAAAACCATTTACTCATCTGTGTCTCTAGCTTTGTTTTCCATCAAACAAAGCTAGAATAACAATAACCTTTCTCAAAGGAGTGCAAACCAACAAGTGTCTGCAAAGTACATTTGGACTCCTCAAAGGGACCACGTGGTAGAGGTGAAAAGTGATGGAGAGGGCACTGGGTATCACTAGGAGCACACTAGGGCACTCTTTGTATCTGGGTCAATAAATAGAAATGGTTCCTCTCTCAAGAATTTTTCATCAATAGAGAAGGGTGATGGACTTACTTCTCAAGTTACTGACATCTGCTTTCATTTTCTCATCTTTCTCCTGGTTGCGGTCCAGAGAATTGAGGCCTTGCTCCAAGCTTTGCAGTGCTTCCTCAGCTTCCCTCAGTCTCTTCTCCAGATCCATGCGCACTTTTACCTCAGCCTGAGGAAAAGAAAGAACACAAATATTCCTGAAAACCTTGTGCAACATAAACCTCCTGCTGATTCACAAGGACTGTAAGGAACCAAACAAAGCAGGTAATACAGAAAGACAATTGGGGAAAAAAAACCAGAAACAATATATGAAAACATAGAAGTTGCTCCTCATGTTTTCAGAGGGACTCTGAATTTGATTGACTTGTTTTAGTAATTCTCCTTTACTCCGACTTCCAGTTTCATTGAGGTCCCTCATTATATGAGCCACGTGGAATCAGAGATGGCATTTTAACACATGAACTTGTACTCAATGCAAGTATTTGCAGATGAGCAAAAATGGAAGGACATCCTTCTGGCTGAGGCAGACTTGGGACAAAAAACAGTGAATTCCCATGTAGGGTTGCCTGGTTCTTAGAATCACATAGTTTAGGAAACAGGATACAATAACAGTTAGAAATGAGTAGTAGTTTAGCCTAAGTGAGTAACAAGTACAGCTAAAATAATCGGAACTTTATTTAGGCCAAGTGGAAGGTTATAGGTGAAGAAAATCTTGGAGGTGGAGCAAAGAAAAGAAAAACAAAGTTGCTTGTTTGGATTAAAATGAGTTGGCATAACTAAAACCACTGATCTTTGCACAGATTAAGGAGTTTCCATTATTGGACAACAAAAAAAACAGTTGGCACCTTGCCCAAATTATTCTGCTTTTGAAACCAAGGTTACACAGATATTCTCATCCACGGACATCCAAACTGAGGTATACCAATTGGTTCACTGACCATAAATGAGACAGAATTTTTGCCCATTCTGTACTTTTTGTACAGAAGGTAGGTTTTTGTAGGTTCTTTGAAACCCTATCCCTTTTCTTTTACTTTTTTTTCCCTTCCTTCTTGAGATGATGCTGTGACAGTAACAAATAAAGAATCTCACTGAACAAGTTAATCAGCCATTAGAATGAAATAATAGTGCAATATCAGTGTGACACAGTAACCTCCTATGTTATCATGATATGAAATGTAACAGAAGACAGATGACCATAGAGTGAAAAAAATGAAATAAAACAAGTCTCTCCCACTTGAGAGAGGATGAACTTGAAGGGAAAGGGAGGGAAGTCCAGGCAAGTAGACAGTGATTTGTGGTATATGAGGGTCATACCTTGAGGTCTCTCTCAGCCTGCTGCTTTTCTGCAGTCAGCTCTGAGAGCGAGTTCTGCAGCGCTTGTGACTGGGAAGAGTAAAACTCCCGCTCCTGCTCCAGGGCTCGGGACCGCTCCTCGTTCTCCTTCATCCTAGAGTACAGCACAGCAGAAATCACCATTCCCACCCCAGCACAACTCACAGGAAGGGGCAGCAGGGCTCAATATCTTCATGGGCTGTACTTAACTACCTGCTTGGCCTCAAAGAGTCTCTAAGGGGACAGTTTGCTGAATATCATCAGTGTTTCACATGCAGGCACCGCTGGAGAAAGAGGCAGGTGGACAGATCTTGAAAGGGATATTTTGGGCCCCTGGAACAGGACTACAAGCACCAATTGCTTCCTGTGGACGAGATCCGATAAAGGATCTCATCTGTGCTGGGCTCAAGTAAATGGGTGAACAGTTTAGAATCGAATCTAGTTCTAAGACTGGAAGTATCCAGTCATCCCCTTCTGATTGCTTTTCATCTGCAAGGGAAGGAAGAAAAGTTCTTTTCCCACCATATAACACCCTGCTTCATGTCCCTGGCAATGCTCTAAGAGCTCCTGCCCTCGCTTCACCTCTTCTCAGCCAGGAGTTTCTCCTCCAGAAGTTTCTGCATCTTCTCTTCGATCTGTTGCAGGCTGCAGTGCAGCCCCCAGCTGGGGCTTCGCTCTTTGCTGGGGCTGGTTGGAGGTGGGAGCTGGCTCTCATTCTCCTCCAGCATCTCCAGTGTTCGCTGCTTTTCCACAGAGAGCTCCTTAAGAAGGACAAACGAAGACTGTTTGTGAGTACCAGCCAGGTCCAAAATTTCTGCTCCTGTTCCTGCCTTCTCAGTCGTTCCATCCTTAAGTATATTCTTCAGTTGGGTTAAACTCAACGATAACCAAACCCAGTTTCCTCTTGCTACCTGCCTCTCTGGGAGCAAAGCTCCACCACAGCCTTTGCTTATGCAGGTGAGTGGGTGTTTGTTTGGAGGCTTGCTCTTTGGAGTGATCCAGGGAAAGAAAAGGGTTAATATGTTGGCACCATGCTTCCTTAATTCACACAAGGTTCCTGATTTTCTGGGAATCACATTCAGTTCTGTGGAAAAGGACTGCCTCTAATTTGCACTAGGGCAGTGGTTAGAAAACTGCAGCTCAAAATTATCAGAGTTAACAAGGAATCATAGCCATGCTGATTGGAAAGGAGATCTGGGAGCCTCCAGTCCACCCTTCTGCTCTAAGAAGGTTCATCAACAAAATAAAGGCAAGTTCAGCTGTGGCTTTGTATGTCAAGTCTTGAAACCATTTAAGGATGAAGGCTCCACAACTTCTCTTGGCATCCCGTTGACCTAGCCTGTCTGGTGAAAATTTCTTCCTTGACATTTAGCCTAAGCTTCCCAAGCTGCAGTTTATGGTTTTTACCCCACATAATATCCTCTGGCACCACTTGAGAAGAGTTTAGTTCTGCTGAACGCCCTGACACCTCCAGCCCTTTTCTCAAGGGATTTTTGCCTATAATATCTGCTACTGAATGAATCTGTTTATCTGCACAGGATTTATCTGTGACACTAGCAAATGCGAGATTCATTCCACATGACAGCATCGCTTTCAGCCCTGCTTGCTTCTCAAGGAAACTTCCCAAAATGCTGTCACCCAGGAGAGATGTGGTCACTCACCTCCAGGGTTTTCTGCAAGGACTCCGTCAGGCTTCGCAGCTCTTTCTTTTCTTCCTCCACTCCTTTAAGGGAGTGGGCTGTGAGCTCCAGCTCCCTAAAGAAGCAAAACCAGTGAGAGTTGTTGGAGGTGAACAGGAGCCCCAGACCGCACAGGCTGAGCAGGACCTGCGAGCTGTGGTTTGTACAGGCAGCCCTCAAGGGTCAGAAATCCCAGGCAGGAGTGTCCCAGAAAACATTAGGCCTTGAGCACAGGGCAAGTGTCCAGGAACTTAGCCATGCTTCCTATTAAATCCATCCCAACTGGTAATGTGTCTCTCTAGCAAGAGCTGGTGACAACTGAAAGAGTTCAGACAGGGTACATTTCTGCAAGCAGGTGTATTTCTACCAGAACAAAAGTGGAAAAGTGGTTGATAAACCACACCATTTTTCTACAATGTGGGGTGGGGGGGCGGAAGAAGAGAAAAAAAATAAGGCAATGCCAAAACATGCCCTTTCAACATTTATGGCAAGGTATTTGCTTTTCTCTTTCTAAATACATCTGTTGTTTGTATTTTGGATACAACCTTTGCCTTTAAAAAGGCACAGTGATTCTCAGTGAGGCAACCTGCATATCTGCCCAGTGTCCTTCAGCTGATTCCCAAGCAACTGTGGAAAACCATATTCAGGTGCCTGGAGCCCACGTGGCTCGGAGTCAGAGGAGTTGGAAAGCTGCCCCTCTGACCCGCTCTTCTTGCACGCCTGGCTGCTGCCATACTGCCTTGACAAACCTGGGGCCCGCTCACATCCCAGTCCCCTCCAAAGGGAGATTGCTGGAGCCTTAACACAAAATGAAACTAAGCTGTATTCTATGGGCCACACAACTGATTGCAAATGCAAGTAGGCAGATCTCAGCTGCTTCTGTTTTCACCAGTACTACATTTATCCCCTGCCCGCACCAAAAGTGTGTTTTACCCATTCTCTTGTTCACAACCACACCACCGTTCAGAGTGAGAGCTCCTGTCCTCCTCCAGCCCAACCCCGTTTCCTCCCTTACCGTCTGATTTGCTCCTGTTCCAGCCGCAGCTCCCGCACCACCTCTTCAAACTGGTGCTTCTCAGCTTCCAGTACCTGGTTTAGACGCTCAAGTTCCTGGAGACAAGGAGGAGAGGAGCATACCCTGCCCATATGTTTAAAATTGGAGTGACTTCCCGTTCGGTAACACTTGTGACCTAATTTGTACTATGGAGTTCACCATGTCCAGTTTCTCCATAGTTTTGTCCAGGGGCCATTAAAAGGATTTAAGGTCAGCTGAGGACTTCCAGACATTGAACAGACCCAGCCAGGCTATAAGGCATCTGGGAATCCCAAACATGATCCCTGCACAGATCGGCTGTGCAGCACATGTGCCCAAAGTCTCCAGGAAAGCTGGACTCAAAGTGTATGGACCATCTCAGGCATCCACATGTGCAGACATGGAAAGCCTGGAGAGATGTGTGACAGCCCCACACTGCTGCTCCTGAACAGCAGCAGCTTTACTAGTCAGTCTCCCTTCTTATCCCACACACATCTTATTTCTGCCATCCATAGGGAGCCCACAGAGCGGCTGCAAACTCTGCCTGTGCTCCCCAAGCTCCCTGCTCTGAATCCCAGTTTGCCCTCAAACCAATAGCTCTTAAATCCCAGGCCCACCATGTGGGAGTTGAAGGGAACCGGCATATCCACTCACCTCTTTTTGCTCCCTCTGCAGGCACAGCTCTTCTGTTTCTTCCATCAGCTTATCTGCAAACACACACACGCACACAGGCAAAATGCAAAGAAAAGCAATTTATATCCCGGGAATGCTTATGATCATGAAGCCCTGACTGTTTGGATCTTGAACATGCAGCAATCCCTATTGCTCTGTGTTTGTCTGTCTGGGAGGCTGCAAAGGCTAAAGTGAGACTAATGGGATATTCTGTGATCAGTCTCCTGTAAAATAACTGAATTTACTGAATTGTAAAACAATTGTATTTCTGTGTGCTCTGCCTAAGGTTCCCTCCCAAGGCTTTTCAACTGCATTAACAAAGTAACTCGCTGTCTTCCCACTGAGTTAGGAAAACATCCTTATCCCTGCTTCACGCGTGAGGAAGCAAAGGCACAGAAAGGTTAAGTGGTGCACAAGGTTGCACACTGCTGGGCGGCCACTCAGCTCCTTCTCTGGTAGCTCATTCCCCTGACCTTCTCTGCCAGCACATCACGGTCATGCTCTCCTCCAGCCCTGGGACATCACCAGCAGCTCCCTGGTGACATTAAGATATTCCAGACTCCCCCAGTCCTCACTGCCCTCATTGCTTCCACACGATCATTCAGGAGCACTTGATTTTTTCCACAGCCCTCATTAGCCCTCTCACTGTTAGAGTTAGGTCTTCCAATTTCCCTCTTGGAGCCAACGGAGGCCTCCAAAGCATCTCCAAAACATGCTGCAAAATACGCTGTGGAACACGTGGGGAGCAGTTGCCCATAAGGATAGAGATCTCACTTTACTGAAACTCGTTAAATTTATTAGATCTTTACTAAACCTTGCTTTACTGAAATCAGAAAGAAGAGAGCTTTGCCTGGAAAGGCAAAGGCAGGTATGGCCCTTGATGAACCATATGAAGTAGAGTGGTGCAAGGGTAATTTACATTTGCTACGGGAAGTACTTGGGATTTTTATCAAGTCGTATGAAAAAAAAGCTTTGTAATCTATTAGAAGGAATATGTTTTGAACCAACAACAAAAAGAAGTAGTTTTGACGACTAAGTTGTCTTGACCACATTCTGTGCCGTGTTAAATGAAGGCAAAGTTATAATTATGTCGTCATTGTGCTATAAATGTAACGGCAGTTCTGCTAAGTCATTAGAAGAGGGTAGTGTCAATTTATTATGGGGTCACGGATCCTATGAATGAACCATTTTGTTATATGATTTGGAGATCTAAAAAAGGTGTTAAATAATAGTTCTTAAGAGATCTTCTCCATAGTGGAGTCTTGAAGGTTGTTGGTCCTCTTGTTTCCATTACACTAGTGTTACAAGCAGAGGTTGCTTATTAAAATTGACTTTGATTTTAGTGATAAAGGTGGAGAAGCACTTTTTTTTTTTTTAATTTGCAAACACAAGTTCCTATAATAGCTTTATGCACTGCTATAGGGGAGGACAGGCCTAATATACTTGAACAAAACTGACTACAAATAGATTAGATACAGCTACACAGAGCCTGAAGAAATCAACCCCCTAACCTTGCTACGTAACTTTTAGCCAAAGTCAAGAACCATCACCATCAACTGCTCATTTCCATGGGAGACACATGCCCACCGGCAGCTCCACTTAAGTGCTTACCCTGAACACCTCCTCTGTGCTGCAACCTAACCTTAAACAGTTTAAGGTTAAAAAACTTCAACTCGTGGTGTCTACCACCAGTGTTTAGTGTCTGAGTATAGACTCGTCCCAGTCTCCTACACCAAGCCTGGGTTTAACTCTCGGCTCTGCCATCCATCCTCCAAGCAAGCGCAGACAGACAGGTCACCTCAGCACCTTATGATTCAGTCTTGCCCATGTCAGATGGGGAGGATGCTGACCTCAAAACTTAACTACAGAAGGGACACAGATCACTGAACGTGAGGCTAATAATAAGGCAGAAGCCTCAGGAGTCAGAAGGGAATAAATAGGCAATAGCTGTCAAAAGGAAGCGATCAGCTGTGACAGTTCACCAGCACTGAATATTCTTGTCATGGACAAAGAACACAGTGAAATATATATAATATATATAGCTCTTATTTGCCACGGAAGGTGCATTCCTCTATTCTTCTATCAGCTTGAATTTATCAGACAGCAGCCCTGAGCTCTGTAGCTTGCTGTCAGTTGCATAAGAAATGTTTTGGCAAAACTTCCCTGTTTTTAATCTTTTCACCTATCTCTCCTGGCCCTCTACTCAACACTAGTTGTCTCTTTGTAAACTCCAGACCATACCTGCCCACCTCAAGTGGGGGCCAGTGCACCAGCTCACATGTACAAATGCCACTAAGTTGGTTAAAGTAAACATGCCTTGACACTTAATCACAATTACTGATAAAAATGGCATTGAGATCCCCCTTTATCAGAGGTTGCTTTCCCTTGGCTCTTGCAATAGGCACTGTGAGAAGAGACAGCAGGAGCTCCCACAGCAGTCAGACCACCCGAGGTCTATCCAGAGGCTAGTCCTCGTGTAGGCAGTTGGACTAGATGACCTCCTGAGGTTCCTTCCAACTTAAATTATTCTACCATCATTTGGAACAACTGTTCCCTCCCCATTGACCACAGAAAGAGTAGAGGGAACTTAGACAACTGCATCAGACACCTCAAATGAGCCAGTAGAAACACTCCTACTTTCAACCTGAATAGAGTGGGCAAATGCAAAGGCCAAGCAGAGTAAGGTGAAAAATCCCCTTAGGGAAAAAAAAAAATGTGTACAAAGAGCTGTGATCAGCTTAAGAAAAAGGTTGATCCTGGGTGATTCACAGTCACACAGGCACCAGCTCTTTGTCTGTCCTATTTGTCTGTGGGAAGCTTCCTGGGAACCAAATACGCATATTCAAACTTTCCAAGGGCAGCAGTTGCACAGTCCATCCATTGGGAGCTATAGGATTTTAAACATGCCAGCTAAAAAAAATACTTCTTTCATACTACAAGTGATGTACATCAAAATCCTATCCTGTAACATTTACTTGTGTTTTGACTCCCTCTAAAACCTGATTTTCAAATGCTGGATATTCAAAGTCTTCATCCGGAAAAAAAAAAATCATGAAAAAAATGCATTTGCTTGGCTTGACCACACCGGCAATTCCAGAAAAGTAAATGGACATTTTGAGTTTTGCAGCTTTTGGAAATAAGATGGTTTCTTACCTAAATACTCCTGCTTCTCCTTGGCCAGCTGCAGTCCTTGGGCTTCCAGGCTCTCAATCATTGCTTCTCCCAGCTGGGCATTCTTCCAGGTCCTAGGGAGAACGGACACAAAGCAGGCAAAAGAGAGAGCTAAAACCCCTGCAGAGAGAGGTGTGGGGACTCGGCCTAGAAATCCACCCAATAATTCAGACACAGACTCTCTGTGGAGCCAGCGAGTCTCTAAATTTCTCCCTCCTTAACTTTTAGAAATTTGCCTGACACGCAGGAAGGAGATTCCCCAGGAGTTGTACCTTCACACACTACAGCTATTCAAATGTTTCTCCAGTGTTTTGGAGACTCATACACCGAGTCTTATGGTTCTGCAGGCCAACCCAGCACGTGTGCAGCCAGCAGCAGCGACAGGATGTACCTGGAACCCGTTAAATGGATCCTGACAGACCATTAAGACCCAGATTTTAGTTTTTAACTTGGCTCACTTCACATCTGGCAGCAGCATCTTCTTCTCCAGCCTTTCCTGTATTTTACTCCATTATAGCCCCTGTTCTCCTTTAAGCTTTAACCCTTTGTTGACTTGTCTCGGGGTCTCGTATCTTCAGTCTTCTGGTATCCATTATCCCACTACCCATCCAGAAGTAACTAGGAATCACTTCCCAGCTAAACTAGAGAGGCAGTATGTTTTGGTGTCTTGCCCTTCACTGTCTGGCAAACATACCTCCCTGCCTAAACAATGATGAATCATAGATAAAAGCTGAATGTGATGCTCGCAAGTATGGAGAGTTAAGGGAAATGGTCATGATAGGTGCAGCACCATCAGCCAGAAGGTCTCAAAGTCCCTTGCAAACATTATGAAACTAAGCTGCAGGAGTGTTCTGTGGGACAGATGCCACTGCTGATCATGTTGGTAGAAAGGGCAAGCTTTTATAGTAAGTTAAATAGCCAAGGATAAGCACATACAAATCAAAAAAAGAACCATAAATGAAGTTTGCTGCTCATCTCAATTCTTGATCCATTAGAAAACAGTTTCTACGCCCATAAAACCCATAAAACGTATACATAAAGTGCATCCCAGTCTATTTATGCAAGTGAATATATAGGAACAACAATTGCTGCACAGAAGTTTGCCACCTTTGTTAAATCGTACAGATCTTAAGGGAGCTTACAAATATTAAATACATATAAATCTTCCTGTATCAGGCCTTTTTGTGAGCCCCCAAGATGTAGTTTTTCAGAAAGAATAGTTTAATCCATAAGCTGACAGCCTCCTATAATTCAAGAGAGTCTGTACCTTGTCTCGTAAAAAAACAGCCAAATATATTAGCACAAATTACCCCAAGGACCAGACAGCTCAGAACTGCAGCAGACAAAGTACTGCCATGTGTTCTTTGCAAGCAGATGGGTTTCTTTTCAGCTCACCAGAGTCTAGGATGTTACTAAAATGCAGAGGAAATTAGGACTAATTTAAAACGTGATGTTTTGCCTGCAGGTAGACATCTTCAGCCTGGGTGACAGCATGGGGGTGTGAGCGTGGACTTTTCCTGTGAAGTGCTGTGACACAGGATGAATCTGATTCCAGAGAAGCCAACTGCAAACCACACAAGTGAGTGTTTTGAACACGACTGCAGGGCTGGTGACCTACGGACCTCAAATGGCTCCGATATTCCCAGCAGACTATAATATCCAATACTCACACACATGCACTCTTTTGTCCCTCGCTGGTAGGCTGCAAATGCTGCGCTACCACCCCTTGCCTGGAGGGAGTCCAGCCTGACTCCTCATTTCAGGATCAAAATGCCTCCGGAGGCCAAATCCTGCTGCTCACATGTGGCTCAAAGGCCCCAGCACCTACAGAGAAGCAGCCCATGGGCACACAGCAACCCTTTATGGACTTTTATGGACCACAGCTGGGAGTCATTAGTGGTGGGATGAAAAGGCACTCCAAGAGAAGATGCTCTTTGCAATATCTATAATGTTCGTGTTCAGTGGAAGGACAGATCCAGGGACAGGCAGAGTCTTGGGAAGCCTCCCCTTATCCCTTATACATCTAAAGAAAAATACAAAGGGAAGGAGAGAAGGAAAAAAAAAAAAGAGCTTACACTTTTCCAGACTCCTGTAGCATCTCCAGCCACTGAGCCTGCTCAAACTCCGATTCGGCTGCTAGAACGATATTACCCTGTGGATAGGGAACAAAACAAAACAAAGGAGATGAGAGGCTGGTGCCTGTTCATGCCTCCGAACGTGCAGGATGCAAACTGGACACAGCTGCCAGAGGAGGCGATTCAGAAGGGGACCCATGGCAGGTATAAAACAATGAGGGATTACGTCCAGGCCTGGAGAGAGCAGAGATCCCAAACATCTCTCTATCAGTCTGCAAATATCCTAAGTCCTGCTGTTAGAAAGAGCTACTTTCCTTGTTGGCAATCAAAGCAGGATCCTTGAGGGGACCTGGGACACTAATCCACCCTTCCTCAGGATGGGTTTGCCCAGAAAAGCTTGGCATATTTGGTGCAGTGGGAAGGAACAGGCAACACAGCCCCGCTCACTAGCGATCGATACCCTCCTCTAGTTGTTTTTTTTTTTTTTTAATTTTTCTTTTAATTTGAGAAGAAAAGAGTCTACCCACGTGGAAGTCTTCATGGGAGATCTTTATGGCATAAGGCATGCTGGGCTCCTCTTTGGGTTCCACGATGCAGCCTCCCAAAGGTATGACCCCCTGGGGAGGAACCAGAGCACATTGGTCAGTCACCAAAACTTGCCCAGTGTAACAAGCAATGCACGGTGGGGTGTTACTGAGCTGTCATCCTCAGACAGTTCTGGGCCCCTGCCCTGCCATGGAAGTCCCAGGAAGGCTGGGAGTCATACACGGCTCCCCAACAGCAGAGGGGCAGCACTCGAAAGATGCTGCTCAGTGCACGTGGATTAGTGGCTGTATTTGCTTCTGAACTTGAGCATGGGGCAAGGACAACTAGCAATGGCCAAAGGAGCCAGCATTGCCACCAGCTGCTCTTGTAGCCACAACACTGTCCAATTAGGCAAGCCAGGGGATGAACTGATCGTCAAGCAGAAAACATGCAATAGATCCAGGCGGATCTAATAGAGGATCAAGGAGCCTCAAAGAAGTATTGGCCTGATTCCACTGTTTTGAATCTGAACCTGCAAGGAGTGAGCCTTACCTTTTCTTCAATTTGCTGGGCCTGTGGAAAAACAACTAGAAACAGAACAACCCTCCCCTTCTCACCTTTGGGTGGATATTGAAGTATTTATTGCTTTCAAAACTCTTCTTCTCACTCTCAGCATAGTAGAGCAGGAAGCTTTCCTTAATGATGAAGAACCTTTAACAGGGAGAAAAATAAAATCCAGCTAGAATAGAGTTCTTTGTTTATCATGACACAGGAAAATCTCCACCTAACTACAGCTGCTTTCTGAGCAGCAGGGTTCCTTCCTCCCATTTGCACCTAAGCAGAGGGGCTTCACTTCGGTTCAAAGTCAAGTGCTAGGTGTTCACCACTACTTATTAAGTTCACATGCTTCACGCTTCCAGTTTATCCCAGTACACATGCACCAGTATTGAAGACGAACCCTAGCACCATTTACTCACAGGGGAATTGCACAATGATCTGTGCCCAGGACAGCATCACAGCCAAAGTGATGGGGCATCTTGACCTGCGGGTGCTCGGTCTGGGCCACGTGTTAAATCGAACCTGGTGGAAGGGAGCTGCCCCCTTTCTGAAGGATCTTTTTCACACGGGCTAAAATCCACTAAAATATTTCTGCAAGCCACTCTCTTCCCTCTCAGCCTTTGCCAGCAAGCAGCCAGAAGCTGAGTGTTCCCTCTATACATTGCATCATACACAGGGAAGGTCACGGGATAGCATCTCCAAGGGACTATCAAGGCAAAAAGATTTGGCACGATAGCGCTCAGGAACAGAAATAAATTTCAGAGATATTTTTAAGCTGAGTTCCTGGCAAAGATTCCTCTCATTGACCCTTGCAAATACAAAGGAAATTGAATTCTTTTTTTGATATGCATCACGTTAACAATGTACCTTGTTCTGCTTGGTTAATCCTAGATATACTCTGATGAACACTGTGTAGTAGCCACTAAATATCATAACTGCTGTAAACCAAACATCAAATTTGCTGGAGCATGCCCTCAAAACTGTGGATAATGAAGTGCATTTGGGATGTTCGAAAACCCTTGGGAGAGTCCCTTTTCTCTCAGAAAATTAAGATTGTAAGATTTGTCCTGCAGTGAAGCAGGGGAGAGATCTGACAAGTGAAATTATGTCTAAATAGCAGCAGCACTGAAAGTGCTAAAGAGTAGCTGAAAGATGAAGACTGGTTCAGTAGGTAAGCTTTCTTACCTACTTTTTACCTGCTTTCTCCTCCTGGCCCACTCACCTGTCCCTGTCCCTGCTGACTGCAGAGGTGGGGAGGAGAAACCACTCTGCAGTCTCAGCAGAGCTATCTCCTCCTGCTTGGTGCTCCACGAGCAGCCTTGGAGGTGGCTGCCAACCCCCCAGCCTCCTCCTGACCAGGCTTGCAAGACCACGCTGCACAGAGCAGCTTGGGCAAGCTGGAACAAACCGGCCAGCTTCCCCCACGTCATCTCTTTGGTCCAGAAATATCACCGAGACACAGCAAAGCAGGATTCCCTTCTTCCAGAGCGCTATTTCTAGAGCTATTTTTATGTCCTTCCATTGACAGGATGCTCAGTTACAACTGTGGCTAACAGTCTTCACTGTCTCAGCCACATGAAGGCCGTGGTGCGCTGTAGCTCAGGCAGGTTGGTCCTCCATGCCATAGCCATGCTGAAGAAACCACTAAACCACACTGGAGGTGAACAGGCTAGGCACAAACAGCAACACTGACATGGACATCAAGCCAGGGACGTGATCATCTGCCAGGGTTAGACACAGCAGCTCCGTATCGGACAAGTGGAGATACCTGCACACTAGGAGCCGAGTGCTTTATTTCTGACACAGGTGTCTAATGAGATTAATTAGGTAATCTTTGTGAAACTTTCTGAAGCAACCATGGCCCAGGTTAAGTATTTACACTGTAAAACTGCAATATTCACCCTAGCCCTCCCATCTCCTGGAGTTTTCCAGGGCACGAGCCCAGGAGCACCCGCAGCAAACCCCGGTGGCTGCATCAGCGCAGCTCCCTCGCCCTAGGCACAGCCCAGGGCAAAGGGGCTTCATCAGCACCTGCCCCTCGCTCTTGCTCTGATGCCAGCACCAGGCACTACCCCTCTGCCTTCCCTGTGACAGGCTTCAGAGGCTGCTGGCAGCCATTCCCATGGGAACAAGGTTACCTGCATACCTGGGCGTTTCATTCCTGGCTTCATGCCACTGATGCCATCGTTGTTGCAGCATTTGCAGAAGAAAGAGGCTAAGCTGCTTGCTGTGCTGGGTGGAGAGCGGGTTGTAGCTTTGAGGTGAGGAGCGTGGCTGAGGACAGGGAATACAGCTTCCCAAAGCTGCTCCAGCAGTAACCCAGGCTCAGCCTGCACTTATCAAAAGCAACCATCTTCCAAGCAATCTTGGAAGATGGTTGCTTCTCTCTTGAAAGGATATTACTTTACATGAAAAAGAAAAGACATTAACCAAGGAAGAGAACTTCTTCGCTTTGAGAGACAGGGTGCTGCTAATGGTTTTGTAAAACAAGCCTCCAAAAAAGGCAGCTTGTTCAGGCATCAGCCCTGAGAAACGCGGCCACCTTGGTCCGGTGCCAGGAACATCCACCGTGCTCTTGGTCAGCATCCAAGGCAGCCCACAGCAGCCCGGGCAGCAGGTCAGATCATTGCATGGGCTATAGGAAGGATGGAAAACGCTCTAGACACCACTGCTCGTGTCACATCTTGCGGTCCTCCCAGGTGCCGTCACCCCGGTCTGACTAAGCCAAGGCTCTTCCTTCAACAGCTCATTTTCCTCCCCAGCGTCTCCAGCCACATCGTGACTGCAACCAGTTAAACAGGCCCAGGCCAGGAAGGACGATGTTCTTCCCCATTTAAGACATCACCCTAAATACTAAACATATAAAAAATAGCCCAAGATTTCAGGACAAAAAAAAAAATCATAGAATCATTATGGTTGGAAAAGACCTTCAAGATCATCCCGTCCAATCATGAGATCAAGTCCAACCATTGAGAGATCAGAGCATCACCTGTAACTAGCAGTCATCACTTTTTTCCCTTATTTTCTCCAAAGAAGGAAATATATTTAACTATATTTTCCTTTCATAAAACAATGCATTTAATCAGCTGTGGCATGCTGGGCATGGGAGTAGGGGTACAGGGAAAGGATGGATTTCTCCTTATCCTCCCCAATAAAGCAGCACCCTGCAGTCTGCATTGAGAACTCTTTCCCATTCTGCAAATGTTTTTTTTTCCCTCTCCTTTATCTCTCCCTTTCCTCCATTTCCCGTCCTGGGCCCTCCTTTGCTTTGGCTGCAGCCCATGGTCAGCTCTGCCCCACGGCTGCCTCCCCCAACCCTTTCCACCTGCATCACTAAAATATTTACAGCTTGCTGAAGACAGGGGTGACTTCTAGGAAAAGAGCAGCAATAAATAAATAATGACACAGAGAGCACAGGCTGGGCCATTTGTCTGCAAGAAATTATGATTAGGAAGGGAGCCTTTTAAGAAAGCAATCTGCCCTCTGCTATCCGTCCACTTCTCCTCAGTAACACAGTCACACAGGTTTCCAGTTTCCTCCACACTTCATGTGCAGACACTGAACTAACACCAAAAGCAGTGAGATTCAGGGAATCTCCTACAGAAATCACACTAACTTGAAGCCCCGAGGTGGCCCCTTACTCCAGTCTTACGGAGCTTTTTCTGCCCTTGATAACACGGTAGCAAATGCTCTCGGTGCCCAGGCCGCCGTTACACAACACGTTGGCAGCTCGCAGCCTCCTGGCACCACGTGGAAGCCAATTCAGAGCCGCCTTTGGCTGTACCTTTGCTGGTCACAGTCTGACCAGAGCGGCCACTGGTCCGCACGCTGCTGCAGACAGTATGTACACATACATATATACACACACCCCCCCATGCAGAGAGCCTGACCATCTCGCCACCAAAAACCTCCAAGTACTTGAGCAAGGATTAATGGACAAAGCCAAGCACCCTGGAGCAGAACACAGGGGCTGACGCTCCTTCTTCCCCAGGGCAATCACAGGGCGCTCGCAGAGGGAGGCAGCTCGTCTCTGCGCAGGGCGCAGCGCTGGCACTGGCTGGGCACGGAGGCAAGATGCTGGGGTGCAATGAGTGCAAAGCAGGTGGATCAGCAGGGATCAGCAGGGAGCCCGTGCCCTGCGTTCCAGCCCACGTCTCTGCCGGGCTGGTAGTGCTCAGAGACCCGAGCGCTCAGCTCGCCCAGCCCGGCGCACTGGGCTCCGCGGCTCCCTCAGCATCCCTCATGGACTGCGACTTACCTCCTGGACCACTTGGCCGACTGCCGCCCAAAGGGTCTCTTCCAGAGCACGCCGTACAGCTGCACTTTGGTGCTGATGTCCAGAGCGTCCGAATCTGCCTGTTCCATGGACGGAGAAGGGGAGACGGAGTTGGATTTTGAAGTGAACATTGCGGTTGGATCCGGTCCCGACTCTGCCCCTGTGCCTGGCGGCTCAGGGAATCCGATTAAATGCAGCGAACCAGAAGGATGCGAGCAGCCGCTCGGAGCGGCGGGCAGGGAGACGGGGCTGCGCTTTGGATCAATAGCTTCACTGCTCAGCACTCGCTCAATAATTCTCTCCCCGATGCACGGACAAGTTTCCTCATTGCATATCGCTTCCTGATGCACCGAAGACCGGACACATCCCAGCCCAAGGAAAAGAGGGATGAGCAGAGATCAGGAATGCAGAAGGACAGAGGCAGCTCTCAGCAGTACAGCCAGCCAAAACACCTCGGCACCGAGCCGCCTTGGAAGGCTACTTCACTCGACATTGCAGCACCCCAGAGAGAAGTCAGCGCGAGACGGGCTTTTTGCTGTCGAGCATCTCATGCTGCAACACGCACCCCCGAACACTTGTGCTTGGGGAAGAGTTCTTCTCCCCGACCCCAATGGGAGCAGGGCGGGTGGGAGCCACTGAATCCCATCAGATTGCCCCTGCCGTCGGCAGGGTTCCTCTGCCAGTGTGGCACTGCCCACCCGGCTGGAGTTCACGTGGCTGCTGGGTTTGCTGGGCAGCGTCCACGCCGCACGCCTTGCTCATCCTTAAAGGGCTATTGCTGACCAGAGCGGGGTGATGGCAACTCTGCCTGCCTGGGTGCAGCCCCCGCTGCCTCTGGGGTCCCAGCTGCTTCCTGGCCACAACAGAGGGACATACGAATGCCGCACGGCTCAGGGGAGCCCCCATCCATCTCTGCCCCGTCCATCTCAAGCAACAAGCTTTCCTGCTCCCGTTTCCCAAGTCCCTGTCCTTCTCCTGAAACCCTCCCTCCCTTCATATATAAGGGCACAGAGTCCTCCAAAATACCTCCTGCCTTTTGTAACACTCACAGGAAAGCGTGTTCCACCATCACACTGTGCCTCCTGCCTTCCCTGTGGCTGCCCCTAACACCATAATTTGTGGAAGAACTGCCTGTTCGTACCAGGTTTGGCACCGGGGGCCGTGGGGCATCTTATATAAGCGCAGGTACCTACATGCTGTGAGGCATCTGCTCCATCCTGGCCTCTGCCACCCTATTTACAGTGACGCTGATGCAATTGCCAAGTGTGCCGCCTTTCCCATGCGGATCATTCAGGAGACACACACTTCAGATGAGCAGTCCTGCTCATTCCCAGAGGTTAAAGCTTGAGGTATGCCCCAAGATACTGCATAGTCCTATCTTAAAATGACCAAGAGACAAAGATGTCTCAGGCTTAGAGCTCTGGAAACCCAGGTACAGTCTCTTGTGGGGACTAGGACAAGAAGGGGAATGGAGAGGCAAAGTACTTTTTTTTTTTTTTTTTGCTTAAAGATAAGGGTACTAGATAATTATAATCAATGAAGATGTCTGCATTTCTTAAAAGTGAGAAATTACTCCTTTATATTCTGGTCAGCCTCTTAACAGTGCATTGCACTGACAAGAACTTATCCTTGGGCTTGGACAAGGAACTTGAGATTTGGATCAGAGCTGCTGCAGTGTTGGGAAGGACTCAGGCCCGCTTTGTCAGCCTGGATTTCCTTTCCTCTTACAGCTTCCAGCAGGTTCCATTGAGGTTCTCACCCAGAGAACCATTAGCAATTATGGGACATAGCAGCAGGTACTTGGAACAATCTGAGTAGTAATGAAAAATAGCCTAGCTCAAGTTTCATTCATAATATATCATAATATATCATTCTTGCAAAGATAAATTGTCACATCTACCAAAATGATGCTTCAGCTTTCTAGATACAGTTGCGTGCAGAGGCTACTCTAAAGAGAGCAAAAGCAGCCACCATCTATCCATGTCTTTAATATGATGCATTGATTTTGTTTCTTCTGCAGGATTAAATTTTTTATGTCTGATGGGAAGAGAAGAATCTCCGAGCTGTCCTGCAGAGCTCAAAGAAATAAGTTATGCAGCAAATGGCCATTAAAATAAAGAGACTGCTGCAGATTTATAATCCCCTTTGGCACCATCCTTTGGTCAGCATCACCCACTCTCAGCAGCACAGCCCGCACAGAGCCCTCCACGAATCCCTCCCACCCAAACCGATGCAGATCCATCCTCGCCAGCCCACTAGGGAAGTTAATTCAGGTGTTGGCTGCTTCGGCACTGTGGATAGAGCCCCATTTTGGGAGGCTTTCAAGAAGTCAGGGACACATTTCCAAGGCTGGGCGAGCGCGGCACGACCTGCGCACTCCTCCCCGTGGCGGATGGATGAACCACAGTGCAGAGAAACAGGAGCCAACAGCCCATCCTCATCGGGTCTTTTAACCTGTGCTCGCGGCAGGGAGCTGGTCAGTCCCTACACACCGTCGCAGCGAGGCAACTGGAGCACCATCAATGTTTCCAAGCGCTGGCAAAGCAGCCCGGGAAGCACTTGGACACGTTAAAAGAGACTTTGAGCTGATTCCGCTCTGCACAGCCCCATAGATCGGAGCCCTCCCTCCCAGTTTCTAAAGCACGTCTGGCTGCAGGGCTACTTCACACAGGGCATTTCTCCACTGGAAAAATTGAGACATTGACTGCAACCCACTAGTTTACACACATTTTCCACCCTCTAGTCTCACTTTAAGCGAAGGGAAACAAGTCAGAGGCTTAATTTTTATATACAATAAAAGTCTGGAAAACTAGATTGACTAAAGCATGCTCTTATTTAACCTAAATACCACCGAAATGTCCAACACAGCCGAAACACCCATAAATGCTCTTACATATGCATTCAGCATTCACTTACCTGTACCGCTGTTACAGCCACTGAAGCCAAGGCCTTAAAAAGCAAAAAGCCAGGGATGCCACAAACCAGGACTTAATCCAGAGCTGGGAATGTCGGAGACCAAAATCCTTATGTTCTTCCTACCTTCCATTAACGCATTCTGTTGCGCCCTGAGGCCTAACATGCAGCAGCCTCCACTTCTTCATTCGTTTGCAAACTCGCCCTCCCCTCCTGCCTTTCTTCACAGCTGCTCGCTGCGAGCTCAGGCCCTGTGCTGTGCGTACACATAGGACAAAAGGGTCACACTTCTTGTCATCCCACCTATGTTCTCCAGTGGGTATCCAAATACAGGATATCCCACTAGACAGGTCCATCACAAACCAAGTTTAAACACCAAGTCTTAAAGTCTAAAATACCTGGCAATGAAGGACACGGCAAACACTCCCCTCCACAAAAGGCCAGAGGGGATGCCAGAGAGCAGAGTTTTCCTCCACATCAGTTGATCCTCGTTTTTTCTGTTGAAAAGACAAGACAGAGCATGGGAAACCTGCCTTAGTCTTGCACCGGGGCTCTGTTTATAGGCTGAGCTCACCCAAGAGGTGCTGCAGCCAAGGTCACTCACGTTAGCCCAAGGGCTTGTTGTTGTCACAGGGCTTTTGGCAGCTCCTCATTGCAGCCACGGAGCCAGCACCCTGCGTCACAGGGAGCATCTCCTTCGAGGTCTCTCTTCAGACAGCAGAAACATGAACTTATACAGACTCCGACTCGAGTCACCATCACCTGCTGTAGCACCAAAGGGCATACACGGACAGCATTTTCTCCCAAATGAGCATTTTCTCCCTTTTAGCAGTTTGTGCTTTTAGATTTCCTAAATGCTGCTGAGGTTTGGAGTCAGTAATCACAATACAGATTCATTAGCTCTCCACATTTTCTAACTGAGGTGTTTTTCTTACCCATCTGACTAGTTTCTCATTTCTATTGCTTTATATTTGTTTTCCACTAGCTCCAATAGCAGCATTTTGCCATTTGTTTCGATTCTACCAGAGACTTGCATAAATTAATCACAGTCTCCTAGGCCAGCATAAAGTGATGGCACTTTTTCCTAACCGCATAAGCCTTAGGAGCCAGAAAAACCAGCAACCATATATTGAGAAGACTGTTTACTGCTTGACAGAAACAGTTAAAACATTAACTGTTAAAGCTATAGTATCTTAAATATGTCTATACGCAGCAGCCGGAGGAGAGAAATCCTTTTGCTGTTGGCTTACTTGCAAATCACGTCCGTGGAGGGTCTCTCTTAGAAGGGAGCAGTAGAGACAGCGTTGGGGAACGTGGACAGCGAGCGCTAGCACATCCCTGCTCTGCAGCACCGTCCCGCTGCTCTCCTGGCACTGCGTGGCTGGGACCCTGTCCTGCTGCCAGGGCGGAGGGGACGTGTGGAGAGCAGGAGGACACGGAGCCCTGGCACGGAGTCCTGGCAGCGGTCACAGGACACTGCGGAGACGCAAGAGACCTGCATCCGCCTGGCAAAGGGCTGGCGCTGGCTTTTACACTGATCTTAACCCCCTGAAGGTATTTGGCACTCTGTGCCCTTCTTACATGTTTTTAAATGTTAACTTTAAGTTGGGTAAATTAAGATTTTAGCAATGACTCTTCAAATTTCCTCCCCCTCCCCAAATTATGCATAAATTCAATGTTTTGCATCAGAAATACAGATATTACCTTCTTCAAAATCACAGTACAGTGCTCAACTGACTGAATTTTTGTGAATCTTGGCATAAACCCCACAAACCCTGAAAATATGCTCTGAAATATCCCGTAGGACCAGCGAGTGTCCTGTAAACTTTTGTTGAAAGGTAAGAGAACAGAACCCATTTCCACAGTTTCACTCTCCTCCTGCCTGAGGGTCTCTTTGATGAAGACCACTTCTAAAGCAAAAATACATATTTATATATATATTCGTTGAATGCATTTGCAACTATGCTTTGCAGCTCCAAAAGACACCAGAAGCAAGCAAAGCCCACCAATAACAAAATTTAAAAAATCAAGAGAGCAAGAAGAGCGTTTTTTTCTTCACAGCAAGAAAACACAACCTGTTCTCAGTTAAGGCAGCCAATGCTACTAGCATTTAAAGAGGAAACTTGTGTAGTTTACCAAAGTTTAACAAAGGCTTTAACTTCACTGAATGCTGCTTTCAAGGAAAATGTGTCAGTAGCAGAGATTAGGAGCAACCCTGGGGAGCTGTGAACATGTAAACAGCAGGACCACGTGGCACTTCCAAGGAAAGCAGAGTTGTACCAAGTTTTCTCCGAAGGACAGAAACTCACCTTTCATGTTTAGAGTTATTTTGGTATGTGCACACCTGCACAAGGGGCTGCTTCATTATAAAGGCTGCAAAATAATGAACAGGTGACAGTATTTGCACGTTGAAAGGTAAGAGAACAGAACCCATGTTGCTTTCAGGCAAAGGATAAAGGATTTATGTGGAGGCAGGCAAGGTTGTTTTCCCTCCTCCCCACTCTCTCCATTTCCTCTCTGCCAAACACCTCCCAAGCAGAGCTGCCAAGCCCCTTTTTATACTTCTAAATCTCTATACCTCTAAATTCTTATGTCCAGATCGACATTCCCAACTGCTTCATTCTTTCACTTTCCAAAGGGTGCTCAGACACTGCGAGGAGAAAAATCAGATTACTGCTTGCAATAACTGCATCCCATTTAAAGCTGTCCCTTCTTTTTACGGGAGTTGCCAAAACCCCAGCAGTAAAGGAGAAGCCAACTCTGAAGCACTGCACCTAGTAAAAATTTAATATAATAAAACAAATCAAAAACCGCAACATTATTTTAACCATTCACAATTAAAGTGGAAAAATTATAAGGCAGCCATTCACGGAATGATTTTGTGTACAAATGGTTTGGAAAAGAAGATATTAAAATTACAGTTCCGTACATGGAGTTAAGTAAACAGCAAAGACCATGTAATGTTTTTCCCTGGAAAGCCAAGGATGCTGAGATGTAACAAGAAAAAAAATAAGGTATTTTTTATTATTTTTTTTTTTAAATAAGAAGTTTGCAGTGAACAGGAATCTGAAATTCATCCCAATGCACCGCAGGGGCTCCGTCTGCCCCGGGAAGAACACACTTCATGCTCTGCCATGCCGGTCCCATGCAGGAAAGCATGGGAGAAGGGAGCAGCAGCAACGCTGCTCCCGCAGCACCTCCCTGCCACCCTGCACAAAGCTCGGACCACAGACACAGCAGCCGCTGCCAAAAACCCCTTGGAGACACCACTGGGCTCCAAGTAGACACGGGAGCTTTTCCTGGGTGTCCCGAACAATGTTATCCTCGTACACAATCCAACGGGGGTGTCTGTGTCAGCCACCTGGCACCTGACACTGCACGGAACAGTTATCACCAACACCCGTCCCGGCGTGATGGCTCTGCCCTCCTCGTCCGAGTCACATCAGAGCAGCTTCTGCATCTCTCAGCAGGTGCTGAAAACAAAGTATTTCCCTTTTTTATACAAAGAATAAGGAAGTTAGAATAGTAAGTAAAGTAGCAGAACACCCCGGAATTGAGGGAAACAGCCTGAGCCCAATTCCTACTGCCCATAAGAAATCAGGAACTGAGAAACCAGCTGAGGCAATTACAGATTTCCTACTGGGGGGATTTACAGGAGAGAGGGAGAAAAACGCCTGGCACTTAGTGTGCTACCTGCCCGACCTACTGCCACTAGCTCGCGGCAGAGCGCACAGGCAGAGGTGGCTGCTCCAAACGGGGACAGTAAGAAGAATTTGTTCACACCGAGGTCCCCTGAGGAGTAGAAAGTGACACCAGATGGCCCCGGCTAAATGCAGAGCTTGGATTTACTGTGACAGATGGGGAGGAGATAAAAAAGGAATATAATAAAATATTTTAACTCCTTAAAACTCCATGCCAGAGGAAAATACTCCTCCATGCAGAACAACAATTTGGAAGAGTTTGGTCACTGGAAATTTCATACTCTTATCAGAAAACCAAAAGCTTCCTTAGCTAAATTCTAGAAAATATTGCTGCTAGCTCTACATGGACAGAGAAAGAGGTCCACAGAAGCCGTGTAACAAAACAGAAACTACATGTCACTGGACTTACAGTGCCAACTTTGGGCTATCCATGTTTTCATTTAAAAACCATTGCCTGCTGTTACAACTTGGCCTCTCAATCATTAAATTGAGGACTAGCATTTCTGGTGGCTGTCCCAAAAGCTGCAAACATGATCTGAGGGGTGGGAAGAACAAGAGGCAAGACCTCTCAGCAAAGGAACCTGTTATGATGAACATGCCGGCGGTTCAGGCAGCTGCAGACAGGCTGACTGTAGCATCTTCCATCAGATTCAACACACATGTCCATAGAAAAAGGTACCGTACAGGTACAGAGGTACAAACCCACTGCAGGAGACCTTACCTGCATGGCTCCCTAACCACGGTAACTGTTAAACATCAAATAAGCACGAAGTCTTGATGCTAGCTTAACTGGGGGACACTTTCATCACCAAGCTGAGCCTCCAGATCATGTGTGCTCTACCTAAAGGCTACTGAACTAGCAGTTATGAGAGAAACCCAAGGCTCCTGCAGAAAAACAAAAGTTAAAGCAGGTGCTCTGCAAGCTGCTGCAAGTCAGCATCACCCATCTTTGGCTTGGTTTGCAAGGGAAAAAACAATCACTCTGCAATGGAAACCGTCTCAGGTGCAGTGGGAGGAAAAGAAAAATGGCTCGACTTGTACACTTCAGCAGACAACACACTTAAAAATAATAATAATAATAAAAATAATCATTCTTCCATGGGACATTAGCATCTGCTGTGGAACAGAGCTGCCTCTCCAGCAGAGCTGGCAATTCCTGTGAGCAGGACAGTGAGATCATGAAGGACTAATTAGGGCAAACAGGGCGAGCGCTGGGAGCTCTGTAACCTGCAGCACTCACCCACGAACAGGCGACTTGGGAGCTGCACTTGTAGGGTGAAAAAAGCAACTGCAAGGGGCCCGAGAGGATCTCCTCTCTGTCAGTATTTACACAATGGCTTTCTGGGACAAATTTTTTTGTGGAAGGCTACCGTCAAAGAAGATCGTTTCGATCTCGTGCACGAATTCTACTTGAAAATATTCTCTTGTGTCCTAGCAAGCAATCCCAGGAATTATTACTAAATTCAACCCTGGAGTACATCTGTGCTGTTGTGAAGCAAACAGAGCGCCCGCGAGCCCAGAAGTCAAGCCAATAACTCTTGTTGAACTAATGGACAAACGGAACAGTTACAGAAATGTAAAGTTAAGAGGCACCATGGCCTCTGTAGTATAAGCAGTAAATGGTGTTAGAGGGGGGGAAAAAAGAGAGAAAAAAGAACCTACATTCAAATGGCAACAATAAGCACTTCAGGAAAACAACTATTCAAGCTTGGAAGCTCCATTTCAAATAAACAAAAAACTAAGAACAGAAAAGTATTTGGCAATATTACTTCAAAAAGTGCAGACAGAATATAGCTTAGCATGGGCACAGAATTAAAAGGTTTACCTTTTGCCCCCCCTAAAAAAAAAAATTATGTCTTGAGTCTTTGCATGTCAAGCATCACGGGGTTTTTAATACATCACAGTTTTTAGAGCATAATGTATTTTGCAGGAGAGAAAAAGATGCCCGACAAGGGAAGGCTATGCCTTGGAAAGGATGTTTTATCACCCATCTACACTGACAGGCATCAGCAGTTGGCCATAAATCCTCAAGTAGATTGATCAAAACTCGTGATTACCAGAGGTGAATGTAGGATTCCCAAAGGCAAATTAAAATGCCTAACGTGTCCCCTGAAAACCCAACAGCTTGCTTCGTTTAGAACTGCTTTAGATGCACTTCATATGCTATCTGCAGTATAAATATTTAACCAAAGATCTCGTTGTGTTAGCCTTAATACTTTTTATTTAATGAGGAAAAAAAAAGAATAAAACACATACCCTGCTGATTTCTGTGGTTCAAAGTTTTAAAGAAGAGCTAGTAAAGTTCTCTGGTCCCTCAACAGCTGTTTCCATCAGATTTCTATTCCTCAGAGCACAGAACTGCTTGATTTCAAAAGACATTGTGGATTTCTTTCTCAAGCACAGAAGTAGTGTAATCACGGTACCAAATATTTAATTTCTGCTAACTTTTTTAGTGCCTACACTTTATTGACTTGCTGAAAGATCATCTTCCAAGATGTTCTGCCTTTTTTAAGGTTACCAACAACTGCATAAACAATCCAAATAATATTCTTCTCACTTCCACCCCTTGTCTTAAATAATGGAATGCTCTGCAGAACTCATCTGCGCTTGACCAAGCTGAATTCTCATCTCCTATATTAACTGTACATGTTGTCCAGAACTTATTTCCTACCAGTGATACTTCTATCACAACAGCAGTGTTGTCCGAAGTGCAAGTCACCTCTACAACACTGCTTGTGACAAACATTACAAAAAACAATCACACTGCCAGGACAATATAAAACCAAGGGGGGAGAAACCCCTACTTCACCAGTAAGAAGACTTCAACCTTCTAAAAGGCAGCCATCCTTTGCCCTTTTTTGTTCCTTTATCATCTGTGAAAACTCAATTGCAAGATACTTGGGTGACTGCAAGTTCATGATGAGCCACTAAATTCTTCCCCACTCACCTTCAACTCCAAATTCCATCCTCCCTGAGATTAGGGCCAGAAGTAACAATTAAAATAGAAATGTCTTCAAAAAAAAGAAAATTACATAGAATTAATGTCCGGCTGCCAAAGCACATTTTGCTACACTAAAAACTTTCCCAGTATTCCTCATTTTGCAATCAAGCTTCCCTCTGAACTCCATGAAAGTAGATGGGATGCATGATGGTAAGACAGACAACGATAAAGGGAGCAGCCGACATTTACTGCTCAGGTCGAATCAAGGAGATCAAGGAGAATGGTGAATTCCAAGTGTTTAGTGATGGTGTCCAATGGACAAAACCAGAGGAATAAGGCATCCTAGGACTAGGGCTGCCACCTCCAGACGGCTGAGTCCTTTTCCTCCAGTTGATTCAGGTTTGTGGCTGTGAGCAATGCCTCCCACTTCTGGGAGGACATGAACTGTTGCAACGTAAAGAAAAGTCCCAGCAGAAAAAAGCATTGCAACTCCGGTGGCATTGACTTCTGAAAGGGCTTCTTTGCTGCTCTGAGAATGGAGAAAAAAAAAAAAGAAGAAAAATGAGGCTATGCAGAATCTCTGCAACCAATAACACAAGCTCTGTGAAGACACAGGCAGCAGGATTTTCATCAACTCATTCTCTCGCAGGGATGACAATTTAAAGTGCTGTTTAATGTTGCACCTTTCAAGTAGAAACTGACACTGCTGACTGGGGGGCATAAATGAGGACATCTCTCTTCATACTTAGTTCATTTTACACTTCCAGGAACCCATATCCGAGTTTATGTAGAAACAACAGAAACCAAAATATGGTTTTAAAAATGTGAAAGTCAGATTGCAAAGTCACAAAACTTAAAGGACTCATTATAAAGAACACTCAGTGTTGATTTTTTCATATTTCAAAACAGTAAGAGTTTAAATAAGCTGTTAGCCTTTAAAAATCTAGTGCCCTGGAAGTTGATGCAAGCTCAGCTTAATTTAAGCCCCAAATGATCACACTTTCATATTTCATTTATATATATATATATATATATATATATATATAAGCAAACTTGTCCTATTTGCCAGAATTTCCATGCAAGTTTTTGTAAAAGATAAGCATCTTCCAAATCAAAAGTTTGAGCACTTCTTTCGCAGTAGGGTTAAGATCACCTTACACGCCCAAGTGTAATGAAATGCAAGACTGCTCATATCAGTTTGAAAAAGCTTCCTAATCTCCTACTCAAGTGTGATTTTACTTCTGTCATATAAGTCTTCAGTTACATTTCCAGAGATGAATATCCTCTACCTGGAGCTATGTTAACCACTGTGACAGCCTTTATGTCTTCATTTCTGTTCTTTCTGAAGTGCAAAATGAACTCTCAGCCAGACTGTATTAAGCAAGTGCTCAAACACCAATCTGATTTCTATTTACAAACCCAACCAACCCTTTCTGTCACATCCTATGCTGCAGTACCAGGTGTAAACTCCATTCCAGCAAGCAGGGGAATTATCCTAGATGATTTACTTAATCTGTTTCTTCCTGCATTAAGTTTAATGACACACTTTAGATTCTGTATACACGACTTCACAGTGTGGTCACTGGCAAAACTACAGCAATTAGAACTACAGAAGTGCCCTAGAAAATGCAACAGAAGGAAGAAACTTTGGGCAGATGATAAACACATCATTGCTCATTTCATAGGCTATTATCTGTATGAAGTCAGGCCAAAACTATGACGTAGGATAAGTATGAGGCAAAAAGGCTGTTCTACAGCCTCTAGCACAGAAGATTTAACCTTTGAAGACAAGACAACCAGTTCTGGGACGGTGAAGAAAATTGGTTCTGACGGAAGGCAAGGGCTATTTTTCTGTATCATACACACATATTGCTACCATTTTTGTCTACTTTTTTAATTAAAAAGTTCCAATCTGATTTTTTTTTTAGAACAGTTTGGCATATTTGTTTCTTCAAACCCTACTGCTAAGCTGCATTTTGAGCAGAACTAAGTCACCGACCTACCTTGCTTAGCCCTAAGTATGTCACCATGGACATAACAGGTGCTGCCAATGCAAAGACCAGCAAGTGTTTTCTGATTCTATTCCGTTCCAGCCCAGCATGCATCAGGAAGGAAACGAGGCCAAAGGCAGCTGGTGCCTGTAAAAAAAAAAAGAAACAATTCACTGAAATAACAATAGTAAGATCTTGCTTTCCTCACATTCCAGATACGCAATTAGGTAAAAAAAAATTCAGAGCAACATATGATAAACTAATAGGTGCACGTGTTGCCATATAGCCACTCATGAAATATTTGGGAACTACAGTTGACATACATACACACATGAATGTTTTAAGGAGAAAAAAAAACATTTTTTTTCTGACGTCAAGAGTCAGCGTTAGTTAGTTATGATCAGAAAAATGTTTAAAAGCTTTTCTGCAGAAAAACATATGATTGATATTGAAGCTACTACTACTTTTTTTTTAGTATGCTGATATTATAAAAATTGAAAGGATGAACTCTTTAAACAATAAAAGGCCTATCTTCCCCATATTCTTGGGAATGTCACACAAAGGCAAGAATTGCCATTGTCAGGACAAAGCTGCTTTTTCTCCTTGGAAGAAATAGACTAGGATATGCCCCTGTGGTTCACCCTGTAGAATATCTCCTGGAAGAGAAAAAAAATCTGATCCTTTTTTACTAGTTTCAGAAAAAGCTAGCACAAAGGTGCTGCACTTCTTAACCCTTCTTCCAAGCCAGGCAGTAAGAATCTTTCCTCCTTGCCTTATTCCGACTTTACATCCTCCATTTGATATCCAGCTGTATATGGTACCAGTGTACCTATATCCTTCACATGGTGCAACGGTTCTGTTCATTTCAATGACATAACACACTTCCATATTGCATCACTAGGAACTTAGATCTTTATGAACTTCTATACGCTTTAAGAAGCCTTAAAAGACAGATTTCTGGATGGTGACTTACCTTGTGCAACATAATCGCAACAAACACTATTAACTGGACACTAGTCTGGGATGTGGAGGCTGCTGCACCCAATGCAACACCATCAGCTGAAAAAGGAGTGCAAGTCCATGCATTACTCATCCAGGTAACTTCCAGATTTCTTTCAATGGCTGACAGTACCACGCATGCTGACTTGAAAAGGTCCTTTTACTCGAAAAGTCATTAATACCACCAGCCCAATACATCACTCACTCCCCTTTGCTTCTAAAGCCACAACCACCTTAAAATTTCAATCAGCCCTCAGCAGAAGCCATCTCATTTTCTATAAGAACAGCAAGGTAGAACTGAGAATCTATTTAGTATTGACACGTCTCGAGAAGACAGAATCGGGTAACAAGTTTAGCAATTTTAATTTTCTTTGTAGCATTTGCTTCCTATCTAGATTCAAAAATAAAATAAAATAAAATAGCACCATTTAAGATTCTCTGCATTACAGTGGCTTGATTTATTACCTTTTTTAAATGAATACCTAAAATTATAGTTTTCACCATTTAACAATATTATACCAATGAAATAGGAAATGGATTTTACTAGTCTTTACACATAAATACTTTATAATTGAAATAACATCTTTTGTTCAAAATCTTAGCCTACACAATAGCTTACGACAGGGGATATTAAAAAGCATCATCATCTAATATATTTGCAATAAAAGCAAGAATTACAAAATGAATTTGTGTTGAGTGGTATACATTCGAGAGCTGAGAGTTGCAAAAGTCAATATAAAACCAACCAACCAAGCAAACAAACCCCTCTGCAGCTCAGCTGACATCACAGACCCAAAAGGGCTTCTCACTACATATCAAACATACATTTTCCCATATTGAAAAGTAACAGCTAAAGCAGCCAGCATAGGAACAGGAGGGGGAGACAGTGAGCATCACAAAGCAAGTTTTCAAAGGGGAAAAAGAAGAGGGAAAACATCATAGCAGTATAAAATTTCCATGCAAAATTCTGAGTACTGGAGTATGTTTTCCCATTAGGTCTTGTGGGGTGTGGGGTGTGTGTGAAACTTCGCTTTCCCCCCTCTTTTGCTTTGTTACGAAAGTAAAAGCCGATAGCCTTCAAAAACACCTCTGCATAACCCTTAACTGGCCAGTTAAGCCATAAAGGGACCCTCTAGGTTCTGACAGCTGTTTAAACCTGCACAAATACTACTAAAGAGTTAATTGAAGGTTATTAAAGATGTGTACTGTAGCATATTTTAACATTAAACACTCCTCATGGCTCTTTCCACATGCTAATGATAACACAATTTAAAATGCATGTATTTCCATAGGTTAAAGTCAAATTAAATTACACAGAAGTCCTTCCCAAACTGTAGCAGTAGGTGCCACATTACCTGCAGCATGGACCACTAATCCCAATGTTGTGGTGATTTTGGAATTGCCTGATCTTGCAGCTTCTGGATCTGAAATGGTCATTAGGAAATTAAGGATTAAGGAGAGCATATACACAAATTAACTGGAACAAAATTTATAGCATATGAGCATGTAGGCTCTAGGTGTGATAAGAAGCTTACTCAGACAAGAATTCCAAACCAACTGATCTTTTGCATTTCTGCATTAGATTTCCTATAAAGTAGTTCAATACTTAACACTACCAAATCACCTTACGATCTTTCAGCAAAAAAGTTACAGGATCATAGACTATTCTTTGCAGTTTATGGGGTCATTGCCATAGGCAGCTATAGTTCTTGCTCTTAACTTCAAACCCCAATTTTAAAGTTCTGTGCTACCATGAGCAGAAAATGTCCATTTTCCATTACTAGCATCCAGAGCTACTCCCAGGGTCCTGGATGATTTTGCCCATGTAGCCCAGCTTTGGTCTTCTCCTTCACAGGACTACCTTGGTCAGCCTCCATTACCTTGGTTCTATGGCAATTCCTTAGTAAGCTTTAAATTCTACTTGTTGCCATGACTTGCAAAAATTTCCCTTTAACATTATACATCTCAAAGAAAACAGACAGTATTGTTTTAGATTAAGGGACCTGCCTGCAATTGTTTGATAATTATTCTGACTACATGAATGAGACAGGCAAGTCTCACATGAGAACCAAAACAGGCAGTTCTTCAACTAACTAATTACAAACAGTTCAACAGTTACTATTTAATTCTAGTGTAGTACATTATTATTTAATTATACAGTGTTTGAAAAGCTGTCTGCAAGCATGCTGACAAACGTGTACTGCTGCCAGAAAGCCCTGCTCCTTTCCTAATGTCCAGCCCCATCCTCTGGTTGCTCTCTTCCCACCACTAGCATCCCTGGCCTGGCACTCACAGAACGACCAGATATTAGTTCCAATGAGGAAAAAGCATTTCTTGAGCCTACCTGATAAAAACTGCTAAAATACCACTGCATTTCCCATGTCAGAGATGCAGGCCAAACAAAACTGTACTTTGTACCCTGTCTTAAAGCATGTACCTCTACCAGCTCAACAAAAGCAGTCAATTTTCTGCTCTTTGCTCTGATGAAGGACATTAGAAATGGTCACAAACTGTACACAGATTCCCCTGAAAATTGATTATCCAAGTACCCTCTCTTAAAAGGGACTGAAAACTCGACTGATCACATTAAAACCCAGCAGCATCCAGGAAGGAAAAAAAAAAAAAAATAAGCACCTTCTTAATAAAGACTACCTGCTAGCAAGTACAACTGAAGTGAATCTTTACTTACCATCTGCAGAGTGCACATGAGAGCTGCCTATCTGGTCCACTAGGAGCATGAAGACAAAGCCAAGGACAAGGGAAACGCCAATGTAGGCGTGCAACCTGGAATGGTCATGGCCATATTCATGGTCATGGCCATACTCATGCACAACTGGGATTTTTGCTACCTTCTCCGACTCCACCACATGCTGCACCTCACTTGCTGGGCGATGCTTCCCTGTGGCAAAAAAAGCAAGCACACAGATTAGAAAATGGCCTATATATGTCATTCTTGCTTCTTTTCCTCCTTTCTCTTCACTCAGCCGTGGGCAAAACACAAAATTCATCATCAAGTCTTTCTCAGTCCAGTTTCTTAGGCAGCATGCATTTGCTTGGTTGACCTCCTTTTGTTTGCCCCTCCCAAACATCTTCTGCAGAAAAAACTTCAAATGCTTTGTAGGTTAGAAATACTGACAAATGTCTCTATCTACAAGGACTCTTAGAAAACAGAGATATGATGCAGTTTTACTGACTTTGTTATCATTTGCCTTAGTATGATCTTTATACTTCTGGCATGAGCCATCAGAAGCAAAACCTTTACTATATAAAACTTTCAATTTCAACACTGATCAATGAGTGTAGAGCTGAACTTATATGTCTTTGAAGAGGAAGGTTTTACTGGAATGCACATGTAACATTCCCAGTAGTCTTCTACGTAACGGCTCCCAACAACATCCTCAAAACCTCCAAGCTGGCTCATGTCCAAGGGGAAACTACTGCTTCTGCAAGCCAGTCTGACACACAGGGCAACAACATCTGCAAGGACACAGCCTTTTTGGTACTGGTCAAAGACTGGGGAGAGCTGCCTTTTTTATTTTATTTTTTGTAGTTAAATTTGTAATAGCTGTAAATTTCATCTCTCTGGAGTAAGAGATGTCTCTCCTTCAGGTAGGACATCAGAAAACAGAATTACACGAAAGATTATTATCAATGTTACTTAAACCTTTATTTACAGAGAGAATGGTTTTAGTCAGGAGAATTTGTTAGGAAATTAAACATCTGAAGCTCGCTTAGAACAAATTAGTTTTGCACAGATGCCTATGTTTGACTTTACTACTAATGGGAATTACCTTTTCTCTTCAAATATAAATACTATATAATTAATAGTTTGTAAGATGTATGTAGATGTAATACATGACCAATATACCACACTTAGTGAAAAAATAGGCAGTTCTCAGTAACTGCATTTACTGCTAACTATACCATTAGAAAAAAATAAGTCTACTTAGAAATAAAATGGAATGAAGATCAAACCCACAACTACAGCTCATTAGAGATCCTACATTACAGTGCACACATTACAATACTGTATAAAAACATAATCAGAGCTGCTTTCCCTTCTAGTTATGGATGATTTTATTTATTATCTTCTGATTACTTTAAATGTAACCAGAAACACATTAAAGTAGTGGAAAGTAAAGCAGGCTAAAATAAAGCCTACACTAGAAAAACTGTATTTTTTATAAATACATATAAAGGTTGAAAATATGTGGAAACAAAAAAATGGCAAAACTTTGAAGATTATGACTTTCTCTGAAGATCAGAAACAACAATACATTTGCAAAGTTCTCTACGGCCTCAGTTTTACCCGTCTTTCCATCTTAAGACTAGGCAGCTGCTTACTTTCGGATAAACTTCTGATTTTAATCATATTGAAAAATCTTATCTATGCAATGGCAACGTAATAGCACTATCACTCCAGGCTTAATAATTACGCTAATAATTTTACTAATTAAAGTGCACTAACAAAGATAATGAGCCAAGACTACTAAAAATAAGTACGAAATATTGAAAACTCAGGTTTTCCAAGACTTTTAGGCATGTGTCCCATGATGCTTCTGTAGGACGTTAACTCCATTAGCTTTAAGCTATTCATTAGCGGCAAAACTATCTGAAAGGCTGGTGGCAGCAGATCAGAACTGGAGAGAAGAAGCTGGTACCTCACTGCTGACATACAATGGATGCTGCCATTCCAAACAGGAATGCCTTCCAGTCTGAGAGTCCTACTCCTATATGACCACAGGAAGCTACAGCACATAACCCACAGATGACCTTCTCCCAAAGGCATTTCCATGCATCTTGTCTGAAGTTCCAGTGAGAGTTAAAATGTTAACTTTACAGAGCAGTACACATGACCTGGCATAAAAGGCCACCAACACTGGATCTGCAAGTGACTGGATCACTCGGAACTGTTCCACAGCATGACCACATTTATTTATCAAATCACCACTAATGTACAGTATTGTGCTTATGAAAAGTTTGTGATTTTACACTGGCTATCCACCATGCTGCTGTGCCTCCTCGCTCCTCCACTCCATCCTAATTGGCCTAGAAAATGGCCCAGTGCATCACCACACCACAAGCTAAGTTACCTCCAACAACAGCATCCATAGACACAGCTTTGGTTCTTACCCTCCAAAATGTCTTCATAAAGTGCATGTACTCCTTCTGGCACAATGACAGCCAGGGCAGTTCCACACAGCAGCCCAGCACCCAAAACAGTCACCAACTTTAATCTCTCCTGCAAGCAAACATAAAATAAAGTATCATCAGTAATAATAATAATAATAATAATAATAATAATAATAATAATAATAATAAAAACTCCTCTACACTCTCTCTCTCATTACTAAACCTTAAATGAAGAGGGGGAGAGTACTAGGACAAAGGGGGGGGGTATAATCCACAACACCTGCGCATAATTTTTCTTCAAAAGCCCCAATTTCAGCCTTTTACATGTCCACAACTTCTGATGCAAACGATCAAAGTAGAAAATGAAGATTAGAAAGGACTTGATTGTTATCATTAGGCAAGAAATGATACATGACATATGTGAAAAAACCCAAGATTGTTATAGTTTATATATATATACACACACACACACACACAAATATATATATACACAGTTATATATATATATATATATATATATAGCTAATTTATCCTGTAGTGCTCCAATTGCAAGGCCTACACAGGTGAAGGAAGATTCAGGGTGCCTGAATCAGGGATAACACTTCTAATTCTATATTTTATCATCCTTCTGGGTTTGTGATCAAATATATCCTTCCTACTAGAAATTATATAAAAAAAGCCAGTTTCCCAAAGTTTCTCCTAGGTACGGCATCGCACAAGAGAAATTGCTTGCTCCTCCCAAATTCCTAATCTGTATAACCAGGACATATGCAAGAAAGACAAATGAATGAAAACACTGAAGAAAACCAATAATAAAAAAAATGAACCTATAATACATTGGTTAAGTATGAGCCTGAACTGCTAAGTCTGCTATACTTAGTATAGAGAAAGACTAAGAAAAAAGTTTTATGACTACAGGAACAAAGGAAAGATTCCATAAGGAAAAAAAAAAAATCATAAGGATTACCTTTCTCAAAAGGCACTAGTTTTGGGCAAAAGGCCTAGACAAACATCACTGTTCCCTAGACTGCAGTGCCTCTTGACTAAATTCTACTTTTCCTGTGCAAGAAGAATTTATTATTAGCTTTTGTTTGCTTGTGATTGCAACACTAACAGGCTAAGGTCAAAGTCACGGACGAAAATGCAATTACATAAGCATCTAACGGTACCTAAAGTACAGCAACTTGCTTCACGTGGCAAGTTTCCTCCCCTCCAGAAGACACCTTCTGCAATAGCTCGTATCACACCTAGCACACCTAGTACCTCCTGAAGTCCTTGGTAACAACTGCGTATCACCTACTTTGTGGCAGAACCATCAGCATCATCTCAAATGCACAAAGAGATGTTGGTGCTATCCAGAAAGCAGTATTAACTACTGAGGACCTGGGTAGCAGTATGCAACTAAAAGGAAATCACTCACAGGAAACCACCTTATTATATCCCCTGCTTTCCTTTGAGCACAATAATTCAAGTTGAAGAAATCTCACCTAAATAGATAGCTTTATACGGCAGCACTATGATCTCTTACTCTATACAATATGTATTTTACGTACAATGCATGTAATACACACACACACAAAAATACACACACACACACACACACACACACAGAGCCAAAACCAAAATGCCACCAAGTGGTACTGTTTTACTATGACTTACTTTAACTTGGACATCTGTGATTGTTTTTCCTAAGCACAAAAATGACACACTAACACATTACTACTTCAACAAGAGTCGGCCTGCTTAGAGATGATGAATACAGCAATCTAATACCTGCAGTCTACCCAGACGGGTGAAAGTCATTTAGTTTGGTCCGGGAAATTGAATATTTTAAGAACAAATCGTTAGTTACCAAAACACTGGCATGTCTCATGACAAAATATCAATAGAATAAATAGTGTGGAAAATCCTACAGGACAATACCTTAATATTTCTATTCTAAAAGAAAACCCAGATGTTCCTCAGCTCAGTGTTTGTCAAATTCTTGCCTTAGAACAGCAGAGCACCAAAATACCCACCAGCAGGAAGTCTCACCTACTTTCAGTAGCCAACAGTTCTACTTCAGCCAACACTGCAGGTGTTCAGTAGGCACTTAAAGAAGATAAACTTCTGGAACTTTTAATTTTTGGCTTTTCAGCTGCAGCTTAAGCGAGAGCCTCAAGAACTGGTACAGCCTAGTTTCTGGCTCTAGGTTAGCCTCGAAGGGTACTGCAAGTCAGGACTAAAGGGAATGGATCCATATCTGCATAAACAAAATGAAACTCTGCTTGGTCTGTGTCTAAAAATACCTGGGTATACTGGGGCTTCATACTTTTAACAATATTTATATCTACCTAAAAGGATAGGAGGGGGGGGGGGGGGGGGGGGGGGGGGGGGGAAGCCCTTTCAAAGTATTCTTTTTCTTTGCTGAAACTATGTTTAGCAAAGCAGAGAATATGTTGTCCAAACAGTCATTTCAGTTTAAAGTGATCCATACTGCAAATGCATAGTCAAATTTAAACAAAACAATTTTAACTGTTAATTAGGTATTCTCAAGATCAGATACTCCTTGCACAAAATCTATTTGTAAAGAGGTTCAGCTTCTCTTTCAAATCAGTACAACATGTATGTCCTCACAAAATCTACTTTAAATGAAAGAAATGAAAGAAGAAATTCAGAGTTTGAAATACTCCAACAAACTTGATTTACAAACTGTACACAGATTTACAAACATTGCAGACAGGACAGGTCAATTAGTATTTGATTACTGTTAATGTAAAGCAACTTGCATCGAAATAAAAGGAAGCGGCAGGTGGCTTTCAAAAACATTCATTAAATAAATAATAATAAAAAAAGCGCCAGGTAATGGTCTTGGCAAATTTACAAGACAGTCCTTTCCATGCATCAGCACAAGAGAGAGTTTTAAAAAGGTAAAAGAAGGTAGAGAAACCTCACAAAATATTATTGTTTCAATTCATTCAGGTGAACCATGTTATGACAAAAGGAACCGCATCTTTTTCCATGTCCATGTTCATAAAACCCCAGAGCCTTCACGGCACTAGCCAGCATGAGACTAACAGACAGGTTCCAGGTGAGATGTGATAGGGAAACAAGTCGCCTTTCTTCCCAACTGCTCCCTTTCCAAGAAAAGCAAAGTAACCAGTAGAAATAAGAAACCGGGGTCTTAATATTTCAAAGTAATTGAACTTTCACATCTATTGTGACAGTCAATGGTCTGAAGGAGAAAAAAAAATAGCCCCCAGGCCTCAGAGGATATTCTGAGACTTCTTGACACTTTAGCAATGACAATGTCACCTCTTAGAAGAGCCCAAATAATGTTGTTTATGAATTCTTGTTCCAGTTGGACCCACATTTGATCTCAGCAGTTTTTCTCTCTTTAAACAGTGTATTTTAATCCTGAGTATTAAAAGAACACTTTGAGTTGTCAAAGATATTAACATGACTTTTTTTTTTCCTGTAATTATCAAAGAATTTTTTATCTAAACAGTAGTGAAGAGTAGAAGCAAAACATTTAACCAAAACCCATTTTCTGAGAACATTTTAAGAACTGACTTAGAAGCCCTGACATAGTCTCCATGGTCACATAATAGAAGTTAACTTCTAACCTTAGAAGTTTCTGACATAAACTCCTTAAGAGAATATCCATGTCCTCTTGGTCTTCAGCCACAGGCTGAGGCTTTGCTGGACTACGGCTAAGAAACTTTAATAGATTTTGATACCCTTAAGTGATGTTACGTACATTTTGAGCAAACTTTACGCTGTGATTTTCAGTGAGCATCTACCCATGTTTTCCTTAGAAACCTTTTTTAAGTTACAAGAGCACAGTCGCAGCTGAAAGGGGACAGCCGGTATAGTTTGCACCTAATGCCTGCTTCTCTTCCTCAGCAGCCAACTAGCACCCGGTGAAGCTGTCTTACCTCTGAAAAGTTAACTGCCAGGGGGATAATCCCCGCCACATAACAGGCAACCAGCATGGCCAGGGAGAGCAGGCAGATGGAGTGGAAATCGTCCATTTCGCGGCTTTCTGTCCCGTCCCTTAGAGCGAAACCCAAGAGCAGCTTTCGCGGCGCGCCTCAGCCCGTGCAGACACCGAGCTGCCGGGCGCGGCCTGCGGCCATGTCTGCCCCGCGCGCGGCCCCGGCAGCTCCGCGCCGGGGAGGGGGCGGCCCGGGCCTCACCTGAGGCGCGGGGCCGGCGGAGAGAGGGGGACACGGAGCGGCCTGGGGGCGGGCGGGGGGACAGAGGCCGCGTCGCTCCGCGGGCTCCCACAGCCGCCAGCGCCACCGCGGCCACCAACTGCCACCTCCGCGCCGCAACGGGGCGCTTCCTCTTCCGGGGCGCGCCCCGCCCGCGCGCTTCCCGCCCTCAAGATGGCGGCGAGGCCGAGGGGGGAAAGCGCGCAGCGCCCTCACCAAAGATGGCGGCGCGGCCTTTCCCCCGCCTCCCACCCCCCCCCACTCCGCGCGCGCCCAGCCGAGCGCGGGCGCTCCCGGCATCCCGCGCGCGCGCTGCCGTGTGGCAGGCGCCCTCCATGGTCGGCCGTTAGCGCGGCGCTTCCGGCCGGCGCGGGGGCTTGTGGGGCACTCGGCGGGCGCCTCGGAGTCGGCGGCGGAGC